TCTGCGATTGGGGGTCTGGAGGGAGGCCCCCTTGAGGGAGGGAACCGGGAGAGAAAGCCGGATTAAAATGTGTGCTCTGGAAAGGTTGGAGACCTTGTTGCAGACCCGGATACGGCGCACCAGAGCTAACCCCTTGCATGATATGTGAGGCGTCCGGGCCCATCGGACCTTGGTATAGTGGAGCGGACAATGCCGCATGTGAGATACTAGGATTCTGACCAATAATTGGTTGTGAATTCTGATCTTGCCGTGGGCGAGCTGCCCGTCTGCACTGAGTTTCTTCATGGAAGAAAGCTTTGCATCTGCGGCAACGTGGAGTGTCGGAACATGCCAAGTTAACTGACAGTTCATCTCCTTCCGCTGTGATCACAGTGATCTTATCTTTCATATTAACCCGAGAGTCTAGCTCTAAGTCAAATTTAACATTGATTAGCGAAGGCTTCTGCCGATCTGCTTCTACCGGGTGAGCTCTGATGACAAGGCCGATAGCCTTACGAATTTGAGATTCTAGGTAGATGAATGAATCCAGCGGGACTTGGACAGCGACAACCCAGAAGGATGCAAGTTCTTCCTCCCTCCTTTGATTCCTTAATTGGGCCTTGGATAACCAAGATTTAAACTCCAAACGGTATTCCACTGAACCGAGAGAGATCGAATCATGCCCTTTTGTGACCAGCCAAGAGGCGATTTCTCGACTTTTCGCAACATATGAGACTACATTAGGGCTTTCGATCTTTATTCTACCCCGAGAGAAGGATTCCGCAGCAAAAGGTTCCTTCCTGGATTTTGGAGTCTTCGTATGCTCTCACTAAATCATCCTTGACCTTTTTGGGGAGGAAACGCGCACCTTCCCTAAAGATTATAGTCACCACCCGTTCCTTCAACCAGTTGATTTTTATGCGATCGATTGACTCGTTGACTCGAAATTGGACTTCTCTACCGTCTACTTCCATCTCGCCTGGATCGATATCGGAGGGGCAGATATCTTCCTCATAGCAGAGGCGGATAAGTTCTCGGGTGCGACTTTCATCCTCCCTGTCCAGACCCAGGTCTGGAGGAGGGGAACGAGGGTCACGATCGCTCTGATAATTTGGGGCAACGTTGTTATCTATCTCCATGATGTAAATATGCACGAAAACCAGAGGACAAGCAACAACCAGTACCTAGACTCCCAGCTATATAACAATTCACAATAGGAGGAAGACAGGACACGCGTAACTGAGCAATCGAAAACGAAATTGGAGAGTGCTAAAAGGCACTCTCATATTTGGCAAGGAAGCCAAATACAACAAACTTCACATAGAGGAAGAAAGAGGTTTCATACCGACTGGATTATCTGTCACCAACTGTCTCACCTACTACTTCGTGGGACGGGCCGCTCGGACATGGCGGGCGGGGATGGAGACGAAACCTGAGGACCATCACGGTGGTGGAGCTACCGGTTGTCCAGTCTTCGTCGTTACCGAGGAAGACGCGCACGAACCGAAACGTCGTAGCGCCGGTGGGGGCGAGTCGGCGAAACCTCCACTCTTTTTCGCCTTCTTTTTTTTTCCTCCCTCCCTCTCCTCTTCTCCTCTTATTTTAAAACAAACCTTCCAATTCAGCTTATCAAGGAAAAATTCGTTGAGGCCAGGGACCTCACAATTCCACCCGAAGTGATCCCGACAGCATCAGCCGGTTTAGCTTATGTCCGATCTTTCCACAACACAACTTCAACAAAGAAGGGCACTTACACAAACAGTAGTTTTGGTCACCAACCGCACAACAATGACTCCAACTTAGACCTTGACCCTTAATCTACCCACCCAAAAATCCCAAACTAACCCTATCCCTTCAACCTATACTCAAACCTACCACGGTCTGGACCCCGGCCCAAGGCGACCGAGAGGAACCGAGTTCCTACCCCTTCCCTGACACTCTTCTACCCTCCAACCCCATAAATGGCCCACCGCGACCATTCACTGGAACCGAGTGTCCTGGTTCTGCAAATGCTCTTCTTTACCCCACCTACCCGTCCCCAAATTCCAACCACCTACTGATTACCAGTTTCATCCCTGTGGATATGGAAGCCAAATGTTCACTGCGAGTCCAGGTGTTCCTGAACCAATCGGTTCCTTCCCTGTTTCTCCCTTGGTCCGCCTTTCTCCACCAGTCTGCGCGAATGGCCTTAACTACCAGTGTTCTGAACAAAGCCTCCGCCTGGCGCTACGGCATTTCCTCACCATTGAATCTCAAACCATTCCTGTCCATCCAGATGACCCAGAGCATTGAGGCTCTGGCAATCTGCGCTATATACCCCCACCATGTGCTGATACTTTGGTTTGGTGAGAGACCTCCCAAAAGAATCCATCTTTTGTTAGTGAAAGTCTCTTCGCCCGTTATCCACCGCCAGTACCTAGCCCACCATCTCCACCATTTCTGAGATCTGGGGCATTCCCACCAAAGATGGTTCATAGACTCCTGCGCCGATTGACATCTGTCACAGATGGAGGAAACCTCCATTCCTCTCTCCCTTAACCATTGCGCAGTTGGGACCGACAGGTGCAACTGCAGCCACAGCAATGAAGTCAACTTCTGAGACGACAGTAATTTAAGTTGTGACCAAAAACTGCAGAGTTCCTTGTCCGAAGGCGGAGCAAGATCCGGGATCTCTCTTTCCCACCGCGCTGCAATCCTGGAACACAGTGGTTCCGAGCGGCTGCTTCTTCTTAGCACTAGAGATGTAGACAATTTCTCCAGGCCCCAGATTGGCTCACCTTCTCCCATCCAGCCCCATTTAGACTGATCGATCCTCAAATAACAGAGAGGAGTCCCATTGCCTACTAGGTATGGGACTAGAGGCAGCCCTTCTTGCGCAGGTGGTTTCATAGTTACTTTGATCTCCTTGAGGTCCGAGATACTATATTTCAATTGAATGCCATATCTCAGCAGCCTGGGCTGATTAGGGAGCTCCCTGATGTATGTTTCCAGCCAACATTTACTTGTGCCGTCCATTGCCCAGCTTTCCAATCTGCAGTACCAGATTGTCTCGTTATACTCCTAAACGTACCAGGTGCCAGGGGGGTCCAACCCCTCCGGTCCCAAGAGGCATTTCCACTCCTCAGGTATGGCTTCAAGGATGGCTTGAAACCGTTCCTCTTGCTATGGCAGCTGCCCCAGGATGGTCTTCAGTTGCGCCTGTGTCTTCCAACATCCCTTGTATTCATCCCACAAGTCCCCTACCTTCGAAACACCTTTCTGAAGCCAACTTTGACCAAATGCGTCTGGTTCCCGGCCCAGAGAAAACCAGTTCCCATCCCGACTTCTGATATGCACGTTTTCAAAAAGCATCTGACCCCGAACCTCTTCCTTCGTGCGCGGGCCAGAGTTCAGGGAGGGTCTGCACTTCCTCCAGGCCTGCAAAACATCATTCCAAAACCGTGATTTTGGACGTTTCCGCACATATGCGTCAGACATCAAGGCCACCCAGACATCCGAGGGTCTGGACAAGCTCCACTCTTTAGCTAGCAGAGCTTCGGCCATCAAGATTCAATCCACCTGCTCCTCAGTTGCGCCCACCCGAATCACCCACCCCGCTAGGAGAGTCGTATTCTGTGCTTCGGGGTTCGTTATGGATAGCCCGCCTTCCTCTCTTGGGGTGCAGATGGTCTCCCATGCCACCTTAGGGATAAAACCCTGGTCAAGATCACTTCCTGGCTTCCACACAAATCTTCAGGCCACCTTCTTCACAGAGGTAAGAGTAGAAGGAGTGATCCTCCTCACTGCAGCCACATACCAAAGCAGAGCGAAGGCTGAAATTGTTACTGCCAGCGCCCTCCCAATAATAGACAAGTGTTGGGCTCTCCCCCAACTCTTAATCCTCTTGGTCACCTTCTCTTGTAAAATTGCCCCCTGAGAGGGAGAACAGTCTCCCAAAGCCACCTGCACATCCAAAAAACGTTCGGCCGCATCCGCTTCCACCCGATTCATCCCCCATTGTACCGCCATAGGACGGGATTTGGGGAGGAATAACACATATTTATTCCAGCTCACTGCCGCCTCGGACAATTCTGCAAAATCCATCAGACATTGTTTGAGAGCTTCCAACGAATGTACTTCATTTGCTGAAATAGCAAAAAGATCGTCCGCGAGGGCCTTGACTCGGCTCTATACCCCCCCTCACAGGCACAAACCCATAATCTCCGGATGTTTCCAAATGTTGCAGAGGAGCGGTTCCAAGTGTAGTACAAACAACAGTGGCGCCAGCAGGCATCCCTGGCGCAAGGATCTACTGAGTTGAAACTCCTCTGAGATCTCCCCATTGACACAGACCGCTGTAGATGAAAAGGTGTACAAGGCGATTACCCACTGGCATAATATCTCTCCAAAACCCATCCAGCGCAGGGTAGTCAGGACAAAAGTCCAATTTACCCTGTCATAGGGCTTTTCCAGGTCTAACAGCAAAACTGCGGTATTGCAGTTCTCCCTCTCAATCAACTCTAAGGCTTCTATAGCGGTCACCACATTTCCGAAAATCGAGCGTCCGCGTACAAAAGCGCCTTGGTCACGGTGGACCATGCCCGGTAGGTGGTTTGCCAACCTGTTGGCTAGAGTTTTGGCGGTCGCGAGACTTCCGGTAGCGATAGCGCTATGATGCGTTAGCTCCAACACTTGTGTGGGCGGGGTTTGTGCGTCGACAGGGCCCTCACCTCCGGAAGTCTCAAGGCCCGGGGTGGGCACGGCGGTTGGCGCTTGGGCGCTCTAAGTTCGTGTCGGCAGGTAGCACTGCCATGGCCACTCTCGTGAGATACCGCCATGATATCCACGGGAGATATCGCCTTCGTGCTCGGTAATATCCGAGTGGACAGAGTAGCGTAGGCGGTGGGTCTGCCCCCATCAAGGTTGATGTACGAATGCGTTTGCTCATGTGAAGTTTTAGCAGGTGAGGACGGAGATAGTCAGGACAGGTCGGCGTGCGCCGGGAGGCGCTCGCCTTTGATGCGTCTCAGTGTGGGAGACGGTGTTGGTGGAACACTATTCGAGAGTCATCTCAAGTGGACTTAGCGCGCCGACAGTTACGATGGTGGGGCAAGGGAGAGGCCAAGCACAACAGAGGGGTCGATCTCCACCGTGCCATACAGATATCTCAATTATGGATGAAGATCGTATGAAGCTTCTCATCTCCAAATGCTACAATGATGGCATATTACCTGAGAAATTCCGGCATGGCGAGTGGAGAATGGAAGGAGGGGTCAACAGATTTGTCGTCACTCCAAGACTGTACGAGTTGACTACCACCTGGTTGAAGGAGAGGACGGTTACCGTAATTTTTCAAGGGGCCGCTAGGGATCTCCCAATGAAGATACGGGAAAATCTGATCAGAGCCTATGAGAACGGGTGGTACAGGGAACGTATTTTTGATCGTTCTATCAAGAGGGGCAGGGTGCACGCGGAGGGTCCGAATGTAGTGTCCTACGTAGCAAAGTCAAGAGAGGTGGCTCAATGGATGATTTCCAAAGCGGAAGATAAAGTGGTCATTAGGGGAGTGGAATATGGCATGCTGTTTAAACCATGGCTAACCAAAACAGAATTGGAGGAAAGAAGATGGCAAGATGATGAATCCAAATTTTGGGTAATGGCTCTCCGCGTCCCGCTGAGAGCAATGTTTCACGTGGAAAGCATGGTGGAGACGTCCATGGGGCATGTCATTAATAGCCTACCTCCGAAACAAGATAAGACAAGACCAAAGTTCATGAACTTAAAGTTCGAGCTGGTGAGGGAGGCGAAGGAAAAGTTTGAAGCAGAGATTCAAATTCGGCTAGGCAGCGAGGTGTTGAGGATCAAGTTTGTATGCAAGCACACTCCATGGTGTACCCGGTGCAGATGGTGGTTCCACACAGCGGAGGAAGATTGTCCACGTGCTGGTGAAGAAGAACCTGTAAGTAACCCCAGTGTAAGACAGCGGGATGTCCAACCTTTTCAGAATCAGAGAGCGTCAGATGATCGGCACATCCGTTCAGCGGCAAGGGAGAATATCCGAGTAGCCGAAGACCGGCCCCAGGGGGCGTCATCAACTAGAGGTGCTGGTAGAATTCAAGAGGCCAGAATCCTGTCCGGCGGTCAGAATCTCGCTCGGAGCAGCCGGTCTTCGACACCACAAGGGGAAAGAGGAGCTTCCGGAGGAGGTCCGATTAGTGACGTGGCAAGAATGCTCAGCCCAGAAGCGGGGGCTCTTCAGCAGCAGGATCTGTCTGGGGGGATGCACCTACAAGGCTACGCGGGTGGGTATCAAGCGTATGCACTCCCCGATGGGCAAATGGTCTAGCAAGGGATGGGTTTTCGCCTGTACAACCCCGCCATGGCCGCGGGTCAATCGTACTTCTACAACATGTACGGTTCAGGTCAAGGTCTTAATTATGTCGCTCACGGGATGGAGGAGAGAAGAATGGTAGGAGGTAATAGAGGGAGAGGGGGGCACGCTGTAAGGATGGAGGACACAACTTCTCCTCTCGACCGGGGAGTGGTGCCGGTGGAGGAAAGAGCCGATTCAGAGGGTCTACGTCCACAGTCTCCGGTGGGTTCGTCCCGGGCACTCTCGGAGATGGAAGATTCCCCCATAAGAATTCCGGAAGGGGACACGGCAGGAGGCAGGGAAACATGTCAGTTCGAAGAATAGGTTCTGTTGCCGCTCGTGTGTACCCTGCAGGATCAAGCGATACATGTGGTGGGGCTTTTGGACCGAAATGACAACATTATCCTCCGAACAACGGGGCTGTCGGAGATTCCTTTGCAATCTGCGATACGGGAGAAAGTCAGGTACCTATTCGCTGATCGCTTTGAATTCAGGATCTTCCCGGAATTCTATCTGCCTAAAATGAGAGTGGAGCTAGAGGATGGGAAGTCAATTAGATACACGGTCGTCTTTATGGACGCCAGGTTTTCTACGGAAGTGTGGCAGGGCTTGAGGAACGTAGGTTTAGACAATTTTCCGCTGGAAGCCATAACCCAGCCCTCGATCGGCCTTCTAGCGGAGGTAATTGTTGAGCCAGGAATCTCGGCCTCCTTCTTGGCAGATTTGAATCTGATTATGCCGAGATCGAGCAATCTGCTTTCTGCCTCCTTTGTAGAATGCCTCTCAGCAGAATGGCCCACACGTGCGTCGAACGGGGGCCCAGACATAGCCCGAAGTTCGATCCGCCCTCCTCAGCCATCCAATCCGCATCTGCCACAACTTTATTCCATGGGTAGGTTGCAGATAGCCACGTGGAACGTTCAGGGATTGGGGGACACGAGCGGCAGGCGGAAAGGAGCAAGACTCAAAAGTTGGATTCATAGGAAGGACATTGATGTCATAATGGTTCAGGAGACAAAGTTATCGGAGAACAAACTGGCTCAGTTGAAGGATTGGTGGGATGGATCACAGTTGTGGTCCCCGGCAAGAGATACAAAAGGGGGGGTGACCATTCTGTTTCATAACAGAATAGACGCCCAACTCTTGGACTATGACTGTGATTTGTGGGGACGATGGTACTGGGTCAAGGTGGCGATCGGTGCAGAGGATTGGGTTTTCACAACAATGTATGCCCCGAATAAGCCTAGTGAAAGACTGCGTTTTTTTGAGTTGTTGCCGTTTGTTTTACCTAGGGCCAATCACCTGGTGATAGCTGGTGATTGGAATGCGGTATGCCAACCGGGGTTGGACTCAGATCATGATGGGGGCTTGACATCGGATCAGTTAAAATTATTGAGCTGGATGGAAGAGTGGGATCTGCACGATGCCTATCGGGAACTGTACCCTACGAAGCAGGCCTTTACTTGGTTTGGTCGTTCTCCCCAGCATGCAGGAGTTAGCCGTCGAATCGACTTCTTTCTGGTCTCAGAGGGCTTGAAAAGCAATGTCATTCGGGTGAAGACAGATAACTACCCTATCTCAGACCACAAGGCGGTGGTGATGACATGTGCCCTCTCCGAGGTTGCAGAAAGAGGCCCTGGTTATTTCCGGCTGAACACCGATCTATTGAACGACGATGAAATTGTACGGTGGGTTATGAATTTCTGGTTGGAATGGAAACAGATGAAACCTCACAGCGAGTCAGTAGCAGAGTGGATTGACGCAGGATTGAGAGTGGTTTCATTGAGGCTGGACTCTTACTCACAAATCTCGGCCTTCCAGCGTAATAAGGAGGAAGCAGATCTTAAAGCTAGTGTTGAGGAGGCAGAGCGAAGGATGGGACTGCATCCTATCTCAGACCTATTATGGGCAGAAGAACGGAAGGTCAGGCTCCAGGAATGGGAAAGGTGGCTCAAGATCCTTGAGACTAAGAGCATCATCACTTCGGATCGAGTGACAAAGGAGACCTTTAGAAGATTGCTGCCCAAGAACAGATCAGTACAAATGAAGGAGTTGAACCATCCGCATCAGTTGGGGAGGCCTGTGGCCACTACTAGTGAGGATATGTGCAGTTACGCGATGGACTACTTTCAGGACATTTTGACGACTAGACGGCCGTATGACAGCGCGAAGGACAATATGGCTGAGGGGTCGTCCCTGTGGATCAACTTGACAGTCCGCGTCTCAGAGGAAGTAAGAATCGGGCTAAACAGACCTGTCACAGAAGAAGAATTGGTCTCCACCTTGCGCTGCATGGCCAGGGGAAAGGCGCCAGGGGACGATGGTTTACCGGTGGAGTTCTTTGAATGTTGTGGAGAAGGTCTGAGAAGCGACCTTGTGGAGATGTACAATACTATTCGGACTAGAGGCAGATTAGGAAAGTCAATGACGAGAGGGGTTATTTCGCTACTTTTCAAGAAGGGGGAGCGGAACGAGGTTCGTAACTGGAGGCCAATTTCCCTACTCAATGTGGTATACAAGATCTTGGCCAAAACTGTGGCCGACACGGAGCTGTTCTCAGGCTACAAGAGCAAAAAAAAAAAAAAAAAAAAAAAAAAAAAAAAAAAGGTTGGTGGCCCTTGCCCCGTGAAGAGCCCAATGGACAGACGAGTCCACTGGCAGAACATTGCTAGGAAACATTACAAAAAAGGTATGGTGAAAGTCTCATAGGGGCCTGGATAGAAAAATCATCTGGCCAACTGATGAAGGTACTGTCATACATTTTTTTTTCTTTTTTCTCTTTTTAACATGTGGCCCAATGGACCGCGAAAACTGATCAGAGCAAATACTGCACTTGATCTTAGCCAAAAGGTGTAGAAAGGTATGTGGCGAACCTCTCCAACAACCTGGACTTCCAAAAACAGAAAAACAAGAAAAAAAAGGAAACATTACAAAGGCCTAATGGGATCCCATGAGGAAGGGGAGGGAAGGGGGAGAGTAGATTGCATCTTAAATAGTAGAACAACCGGCTGTAGTGGTTCCCCAGATAGCTCCTCCCGTCTTCCCCGAGCAGAACACATATGGGTTGTTGTTTCCATTTTTTTTAATTTTATTTTATTTTTTTTAAGACAAGCTCCATCTATTGGTGGGGAGCAGCACCTGCTGGAAACCGGGTCCAGCGTCCCACAAATACAACCATATCCTCACAAATAGGCACAAACTGGGAACCGGGCCCAGCGTCCCATAACAAACACGTTCAAAAAATCATCAGAAAATTCCATGAAAATAAGGCTAGAAAGCTACTAAGAATTTGGAGCTGCTTCTTTTTTGAAAATTAAGATACCGGGGCCATTACCCGGCTTTGGCTCAGAGATATTGGAACAACTTCAGACATGTCCCCACTCCAGCAAGACTTACTGCAGCAGAGCCACCATCTCTGTTGCTGCTGTGCTCTATTCCCATCCTACCAGCTAGCCCACTCACTAGTAGGACGCGTGATACCCCACCATAATTTTTCCGAAAGACTGCAAACGCCACAGTTCTGTCTTCGTCATCGAAAGGGAGGTCCCGGAAAGTCAACAAGTGCAACAGTTCTGTCTTTGTCATCGAAGGGGAGGTCCCGGATCACCCTCCTCAACTCCATCCTAGCAAAGGGTTTGAAGGACCATATCCTCAGCACGAGCCAGACACAATCCTCATCCTGCAATCTCCTGCCCCCTCGGAGATTCCAGTCTCCGTCTTCGAGAGAGCAAGCTAACACTGCCTGAGGCCAATCGCACCAGAATGATCCCTCATCAACCGTACCCATCCGGGAACTTAAGCTGCCTGATGCCAATCGCATCTAATGAAAGATCCCCCCAGCCGGTACCCCTCAGACAACCTAATTCAACCCTCTCTCCATACTCACAAAGAATCATCTCGTGCCCTTTGCCCTCCACCTTGAACAGATCCCCCAAAACCCAACAGAACCTACACTCACCTCCTTCACCTCCCCAACTCCGTCCTAGTAAAGAGTTCAAAAGACCATGTCCTCAGCAAGAGCGAGACACAATCCTCACCCTGCAATCTCCTGCCCCCTCGGAAATTCTAGTTTCCGTCATCGAGGGGGTGAGCCAGCACCGCCTGAGGCCAATCGCATCAGAGTAAACCCTCATCAGCCGGTACCCATCCGACAACCAAAGCTGCCCGACGCCAATTGTATCTAATGAAAGTTCTCCTAGCCGGTACCCCTCAGACAGCCCCGATGCAACCCTCTCTCCGTCCTCACAAAGAGTCATCTCGTGCCCTTTGCCCTCCTTCTTGGACAAATCCCCCAACTCAACAGAACCGCCCCATATGAATCTATGAGATTTTAAAGCGAATTTTAACCGGTTATTTGAAACCACATGCCATAGGGATATACCCTCAGATGCCCTAATTAGGACCTTCGACCAACACTATGAAATTCTCAGTTGATTTATCCGACAAGAACTGAAATTACTAAACCTTATTACCGATAAAAGTTAATGAACATCAAACCTCA